CATAACGAATATTGATTCAAATGTTGCAAATTAAAATTCGGATAAAAAATTTTTGGGAGCTTTTTTAAAATTTTAAATTCAATAAATGCCTAGTTTTGCCATTAAATAATTAGCTAAACAGTTTCCTTCATTTTTACTGAGTTTTGTTTTCTGGAAAATGAGTTTCAATACTATGGTTTGGCCCGTATCGTCTTTAGTTTTTAAATGTTTTGTTTTTACAATAAGTTTGTATGTTCACGATCAATGTGTATTTGTATTTGAGTAGACGAAAATCCTAGTTTTTTACTGGTAACCCTAGATTGGAAACAAATATTATGATTATTATCAATGATTAATGAGTTTCGAATAAGGGAGAACTGAGTTAAAACAATCAGTTAAAAACGTTAAGCAGGTCAGATTTGTATGTTTCAATGAAAAATTTTGAGAACTGATAAACTAAGTCAATATGTGCCAATACCAGCTTTTGTTTGATAATTGTCAGAAAAATTTAACTAAATTTAACAAAACTGGATTTAAAAAAATTTACTATTCCGCTGATAAATCTAGAAAAAAGCTGAAAAAACAAGATTGAATTGCAAACTTGAATTGATTTCTCAGCCAAATTTTTTTTGGGATTTTTAATTAAACGATTAACCTATCACCAATCAAAAAGTTTAGCTTCAGCTAAAACTAAAAAAATCAAGCTTTTCAAATTGTTTGAACATCTGGACTTCTTGTTTGTCAAATAATTGTAATTCATCATGCCAAAAATTTTGAGCTATGTCTTAAAGCAAATATTGATTCAAATGTTGCAAAACAAAATTTGAATTTAAACGTTTTGAGAGCTGCTTTAAAGTTTCATATTCAATAAATGCTTAGTTTTGCCATTTAAAAACTAGCTAAACAGCTTCCATCATTTGTACTGAGTTTTGTTTTCTGGAAAATGAGTTTGAATACTATAATTTGGCCTATATCGTCTTTATATTTTAACTGTTCTGGTTTTACTTTATGTTTGTATGTTTACGGTCATTATCTATTTGTATTTGAGTAAACAAATA